CATTGATTCTTATTATTAATAATAGTAAGTTACAGTATGCTGGGATCCTGAGGTTTTTTTGGTGGTGTTTGTTCAAATAAATACATCTCTAAATTTGCAGATTAAAATTAGCTTTAGTTTTGAAGCTTGAAATGATAAATACAAAAGAAAAAACATCAAACATTCAACTGTGTCTGCTCTACAGCAGTCTTTGCATGGGATTCTGCATAGGGGAAAGGTACTGCGTAGCTGCAGACTGCCACTGCCCTGGGATGTCTGATTTAAATTGGCATAGGATCTTGGGACAGAATTAGCCTTTTATGTTTGAGTTGTTAACAATCTGCTGGCCTTTTCTCTTCAGCACCAATGACTGGTAATTGTTTCTCTCTCTGGGTTTGTTTTACAGTGGGGTTGTTGGTTTTTTTGGTGGTTTTTTTTTGGGGGGTGGGGTGGTATGTTTGAGTTGTTAACAATCTGCTGGCCTTTTCTCTTCAGCACCAATGACTGGTAATTGTTTCTCTCTCTGGGTTTGTTTTACAGTGGGGTTGTTGGTTTTTTTGGTGGTTTTTTTTGGGGGGGTGGGGTGGTGGTTTGTTTGTTTGGTTTGGGTTTTTTTTCCCCTGTTTTTCCTCCATTAAGGATGTAGACAGCAGTCTGAACTTTCTTCAGTAACTGTCAAGTGTTATCTGCTGCAGCACAGAACAGGCATTTTGCTGCCGAGTTTGGACAATAGAACGTTTAACGTGTAACATTTGAAGACCGCTAATTCTCTGCTCTCAAAAGCATATTGCAGCTATTGCGATTGACTGTATTCTGCAGATTGTGAAGCTGAGCCATTTTATAGGACGGCAGGATCTTTTTTTTTTTTTATTGTCTTAAGTTGCCCGTGTTTTTTAACTTGTCTGCCCCTCCTCCTCCTCCCTCAAATCCCCCTTTTCTAGAAACAAAGACTTGTTTGTTCCTTCTCTGCCTGTGAGGTCTCTGCAGCCTCACTGTGTGGGTGCAGAGCCCCTTATTTAAATGCTTTCCATACTCATGGAAGGTAAGGAACAGGATGCATCAGAAAACTGCTAAGTCCTAACTCTGATAGATAAGTGAAGCTCTTTGCCTTTGAACTCAAAATACTTAAAAAAGCGCTCTGTGTGTCAGGATCATCACAAACCCACGAGGTGTGAAAGAAATAAAATGTGCTTATCTGAGATCACATTGATAAGCATATTCTTTAGAGTGCAGATTTTTGTAGCATGTCCTCAGTAAGTAATGGAGAATTGAGAATTAAAACGACAAAACCAAACCAAAACCAAAACAAACAAAAAACCTTAAAACCCTCTGTTGTTGCTTTGTTGGGTTTTTTTTCCTGTCACTCAAACAAAATGTGTTCTCCCTCTTTTCATTTAATCTTGAGTTGGAATTATAGAAAATCACATTCTTCTTTCTGTTTCCCTTGAAGATAGTACACTTGTGTGATCAGCCAAGATAGCTGAAAATCCTTCAGTGTTACTACTGTTGTTTTTTTCCCCTGGTTCTTGGGTATGTTGTTAAGTCAGTAAAATTCAGTTAGCAGTATCTTCTTCTTAATGTCCAAATGTTTAGTTTAATTTCACAGTTAAATATAGTTCCCTTACTCCAAAATCATCTCCATGGTCTGCACTGAGGACAGTTTAAAATCTTGCCAATTTGAAGTATTTTGCACTTGTATTCTTGAAACAATAAAATGCTCAGAAAAATCCTTTTGATGGATACCTAAATAAGAATTCAGAAACTTGATTTTTATGTTGCGTTTCTGAAGAATTGCCAAATCATATAATTAAATTTTCCCCTGTATTGATGATTATTAAGTATACAGCAAATTTTCAATATCTTACTGTATTCCTGTTTGAGATACACTTTACTTATATACATTACTTTCCAAATAGAAATTAGAAGACATTTCAGGGATCTAGGATGAGGGAATGAAATGAAAATCATCAGACAAACATGATTTGTTTCTTATGGTTTTAATTACAAAGCCAGAAGATGGGAATACTGAAGTAAACTGTGATCAGAGAGAACTGGGGAAAAAAAAACCAGCTGTCAGAAAGATACAGGTATATAAAATATGAAGAACTTGGCATGAGAAGGAAATTATTTCCAAAGCTGCATAGTAGTGGAAAAGAGACATAGGGAAGTGATACTCACATGGTGCATGCAGGAAAAACAGATTGATAACATGAATCTGCAGTTACGCTGAATTTAAGTGTTTAACTAAGGTTAGAAACTGTTACATTCTGTTGAGGTTATCTGTAACATGACTTGGGTGGGAACTGCATGAAGCAGGAACTCCAAAACAGTCATTATATCACTGCAAACAAGACCATATAGGCAGCCTTTTTAACCAAAAGAAAATTGACATTCTTCGGCTTTGGGTACTTAAAAGCAAACTACCTAGCTCATTAAAATTAACTTAGATGTGCTTATTTCAGGTGATTGTAATTTTCTAACCTTTGTCCCTCTTTACTCTTCACTGTAATTGACCTTCCATCTTGTTTAATAACAGGGTTTGAGTCCTGGAACTTCTGAAGGGTAGCACAGACTTCTGCTTGAGTTGCAGAATTAGGTAACAGCAAGAAAAGGCTGTTTTCTGTTGTCCCCTACTAACCCCGTTATTGTCTGCTTTTAAGGTGAAAGAGGGTAAGATATAAAAAGCAAAAGGCATGGTCCTGCTTCCAGGCTTGATAGAATTCTGAGTAAAAAGACAGAAAGGATGAGATCTGTTCCCCACTCCAGCAGTGTCACGTCCAGATTGTTGGGAGCTGCTAGGTGGGCTGCCTTTCTTTTCCATTGCTCTCTCTACCTTCAGCTTCGCCCTAATTTGGTAAATGTAGATAGTCTAATTGCTCCCAGTCTTCCAGCAGAGATTGCCTGCTGGAGGTCCTGGAGCTTGTAATTGCAGTTCACTGCTCACATCCTGGCAGGACAGCTGTTGGTGCTGTTGAAACTTCTGCCTAACAGTTTCTGGTGTCTTGGGACATATGAACCTTCTGTGGGTGTTCAGCAGAGGAACAAGCTGTCCCGTCTCTTCTGTTGCTGGCCTATGGACCACAGTTTATGTCACGAAGCTGGTTGATTTGCTCATCCTGGTCATCTTCGTCCTGAAGTTCACTTTTCATGGTGAAGTGGTGCAGGATGTCTTTTAAGATCAACTGCTTGATTTTAAGCTTTAATCCACAGCAATGTCATTTTCCCACTATTTATTTTCCCCACTGGGTCAGGGTGGGTCTTGCAGGTTGGAACTGAACCTCCAGCCCTTTGTATTTACTCTGTTGTTTCTGCTCGGTACTGAGATTCAGTTTCTGTTCTTGCTTTACCTGTCCATTTACCTTTACAGGAAGTTTTATGTTATATGTGGTCAGATCTATGATGCTCTCCCATAAGCAACTACATACAAGATTATTTCAAATTACTTCAAGCTATTTGACACTTCATTTTATTTTGACTTGTGAAAATGTGACCCACCTGTCCATTAAAGACTATTTACTTTGTGCTGGTCCTATGGAATAGTTGGAAGGGTAGACTAGAGTCTGTAACTGGTTGTGACTCTTTTTTTCTTTTCTGTTCTGAAGCAATAGCCATTTTTATTGCAACTATGAGATAAATATAGTTAGACTTTCTGGGAATAGAAGAAAAGCACTACTGTACCTTAAGTTGAACATTCAAAAGACAGTGGAGGCTTAAGGGCTCTTCAGAGAAAAGATGATGCACATTCTTTATGAGACAATTCTTCTTTCTTAAGATAGTTAGAAGTGCTAGTGTTCCAGGAACCCTCTACAGATGATGAAGACATTAATCCAAACTAATACAACAGATGGTTTGCTTTGCACCAAGTCAGCCTGTCATCCTAAAAGAAGCACACTCCCTTTTTTTCTCTTAGTTCCCATAAACCGTAATCCTCATTCCTAGGAAAAAAGTAAAAATCCATACCACTTTCCCATCACTGCTTCAGCAAATGCATTCTGCAGCATATTGTTAATGTTAACAGATGCAGGCTGTTCCAGACAACAAGATACAGAGCTAATTTCAAAACTGAACCCCCCCGAAAATAGTGCCCTTGCAATGCATTCAGCTTTAACCAGCTCTCTGTTTCACAATGGAAACTCCAGTGCCTTTGTTGACTTTAACTATACAGGTCTAAAATCAGGCCTGTCAAGTCAACGCATCCCATCCATGGGTTATTTTATGAAATAAGACTGTCTTAGGTCTTGCTTTTATGGGGGAAGGGAAGATGGGTTCTCACTGTGCATTAGGCGTTCAAGACAACACTTTTTCTTCTCTACACCCCAGAAAAGATGCATCACATACTTCTGTGGGGTAAAAGAAAACTGAGCACTGTCAAAATGTTTCCTGTAGTGATGGCGGTATTTTTGGCTGTGTAATTCATCTGCCACTTCTGTACCAGCTCTAATTTTGCATGTCAAGATGCCTTAAATGGAGTCTGTAACACTCAAAACTCAATGTGACAAGGATGTGAATGATTGTTGCATGACCCGTACCACGTTGGGAAGAATGGTGGCCTTTAACCAAATGTAGTTTGATGTCAGTGAGGTAATCTGTTTTGTCATTCTGTGTGTTCTCAAGTTTATGGATTCTGAGATTTCACATGAATAAGAAAAGTGATTTTGTAATATTTGTGTCTAAATTGAGAATAGTTCATTAGGAAGAAGAGAGAGATCGTTCTAATTAAACTTGAAATATTTTACTACCACTGTTGAATTTTTCAACAACTTACGGGTTTAACCGTTTTCCGAAGCTTTTAGAACAGTACGTACTCTAAAACATGAGACTGTTGCATAGATTTCACAGGAGTAACACATGTGAGCATACCTTTCACACTCTGAACATCAGTGTAGCTGCATGTTTTGTACTGTCGTGGCTTGCAATTTTATTTTACAATGTTTTTAATACATGCCTTCTAAGGATAATGCTTTCCTTGCATGTATTTGTTTGAATTTCGTTTTTAAATGTTTATTGTTTTGGTTCCTTAGCCATGAATCAGCGAATCAGCCAAAGTGCTCCAGTGAAACAGCCACCCCCTCTGGCTCCTCAGAGTCCCCAAGGTGGTGTGATGGGTGGAAGTAGCTCCAATCAGCAACAACAGATGAGACTTCAGCAGCTACAGATGGAGAAGGAAAGGCTGAGACTGAAGCATCAAGAACTGCTTCGGCAGGTGAGGCCACAGGTTAGACACCTACTTCCACTATTTCTTTTGTATGTTATGTTTTGTTTTGACTAAGTTGTTGTTTCAGTGAGTCTTAAAGACTGGTGACTGCACAAAAAGCTTTGAGATCTCAAAAAGTCTGAATCCATCCTGTTATCAGTATCAGCTTAATAGTGAAAGTGTCTGACTTACAGACTGACAGATTTTGCTTTCCTCCCTCATTCCTCTCCCTAACAAAACTCTCCAAGAACAGGCTTCTTTAGTGTTACGATGACATCATGCACTGTTGGTCTGATTGGATATTCCTCTTGAGAATATCTTTCATATTCACTGAGTTCTGAGTCATGCCAAAAGACAAGAAGTCGGTTCCCACAGCTGCTTTTAAGTGGAGGAAAGTCTTTCACTTTCAGAACCTGTCACAGTCTGTAGGATTTCTGAGTTCTTCTAAAGTTTATGTAAGATGAATCGAGGAGACACCTTGTTGCTAAAATCTTATCTGTTAAACAGTGGAGTGGACCATGGAACAACTGAATCTCTCGTGCTGCATTTTGGACCTGTGGTTTTCATATGCTGAAGAATTTCGAACTTCATAATTAGGCTGCAAGCTATTCCTTTCAGTGTTTTTTCTACTCTGTGTAGCAAACGTTCAAATGTAGGACTGGACACTGGAATCTCTGGATTTTGAATTCGGGCTTGACTTCCTTTTGACTTTAAGCCTTCTGCTTCGATTTTTCTATCTGACCATTTTTAGAGTTACTACCATCTGTGTTAGATACTTAGGATATTGCTTGGTTTTTTGACACTGTCAGAGAAGTCACTAATTGTTTCTGTGAGGAAAAACTTCTAAAAATCTTCCCCTGTTCCCTTTTCACTTTGGGTGATGGGCTTTGTATCAGTAGAGGATAATATCTTAATGTCCTCAAAGACAGCTTTTCTCTTTCTTCATCACCTGCAGTATTCTGTCCTGGAATCTGACTCCCGTTATCCCCTTTGTAGTCAAGGCCTGTTTTGTAGGAATCTTCAGCATCTCTTGGTGTAAGATGGGTCATCTTTACAGCCGTTACTCTTTATAGTACTCTATACTCTAGGTAAGAATACACTGCAAAGGTGGCATCAGGACTTTCTCTCCGCTTAAGCACCTGGGCTTCTGCTTTTCCTGCTTTGCTATTAATCCACCAACAAACGTTTTACCCTGTGCTAGCATGCTTCTAGGTAGGCCTTCTAATTGTCTTCTTGCCTCAGTTGTCATTGAGAACCTGACTAACTTTGGACCAGGTGACAGACAGTTCCCTTCATGTTGTTCTCCCTGGTCGTTAAGCTTATCTGTCAATTATGCATCCTGGGTAAACCTGTGAGTTCTGTTTCACTGTGTCATGATTTTCATAGTCTCTTAACTCCCTTATCCTGTCACATCTGGCCTGTCTTGGGGGCTTGATACTACAAGATGGTGTTTATAAGACAGCCTGCATAAGCAAACCATGCAGCTAAAGTAATTTTTATCCATCTTATTTTTACTCTTAGGCATTGCGGAATATCAATCCCAGCACAGCAAATTCTCCAAAACATCAGGTAGGCTCTTAACTGATGTTTCAGCATAATTAGAAAAATGAAAGCATTAAGTTAGGCTAGCAGAGGAACTTTTTGCTATATAAAGGCATTCAAAAAAAGAAAAGGAAAACCCAAACCAACAAAACACCACCACCGCCAACTGAAAAAACCCAAGCTCTGCCATAGACATTTTTTAATCACTTCTCTGGTCATGACCCTCACATTGTTTTTAAGAGTGCTGCATTGCCACAACTTGATATCAATTTTTAAAAGCAAACGAGGAATTCATTGCACGTTTTTCTGCATTGAAACAACCTTCTTGTTTAGCATTCTTGAGGATACTGCCGTTCCAGTCCTGATGTCATCAAGATATGTATTTAAAGCAAATCTCCTATTGTATCTAAGCTAGTAGGTTGTGACTTTTAAGTACTGTTCATATGAATGTTCTTATCACTTTGTTTAAACAGGTATGATCTTGAAGAAAGATATCTGTAATCAGTTAATGAGAAGTCACTTGAAATATTTGTGATTTTTAAGCATGTACAGTGTAACAGAATTATTTAATGGATTAGACTAACAAAATTATTGCCTTGGGGATATGATATGTAATTTTTTCCATTTTGACATTTAACGACAGGATCTTGCACAAATACATTTTTTGTATAGGAAGCAACAATTTTTAAAAGCCTCCCAAGCTCAAACCAAAAGAAAATTGCTCAAAATATGAAGCATAATAAACAGTTTAATGCGGACTTCTTTTAGGCTCTTAAGAAGTTGAATATGGAATGAATCTCTGAAAGGATGGATTTATGGATATATTCGGAGAGCTTCTTGCTTGCTATTGCTAACAGTATTCTTAATCTATGGTTCTTAACACAATATTTTTATTGGCTTGTATTCTGTGTTGTTTTTCTAAGAAAAACACTATGCACACTAGGCAAGAAAAACAGAATAAAAGAAAGTATCCTGTGTTTGGAAGCTGGGAGTACTGGTGTGCTGTTGCATTCTGAAGAGTACCACAAAATTTGTACCTTACTAGTTCTCCTGAGATCATCTTCAGAATAGAAACCTCAGACCTTAGAAACAGTACTGACACCCTGGAAAAAATAATTTCTTGTTTAGCAATATCAGTGCAATTCTAAAACAGAAGCGTTTTAATTAAGAGGTAATCATTTAATTAATTTACAGAGCATTAATCTCATAATGATCTTGTTTATCAATATTAGATCCTATTATGAAGAAAGAGAAAAAAATTCCTTAAGAATTGCGGGTATACAAGGGAATAAACAGGGACGCACGCTCCTCCACACCAGTTGGAAGGAAACACCTTATCTTTGGCCACAATTAGGTCATTCAGGAGGGATGTTTTTCTTACTGAATGCCAAATGCATATTCTTGGGTGCCTGAAGCCCTGTCATACGCTTGTTTGCTCTTCTACAGTAATTTCTTCCTGTTGTCAACTCAGAATTAGGCAGCAAATGCTGAACTTTGGGATCAGTTTCATACTTAGTAAGATCAGATTTTTGGAACTTCTTGAAATTCTGGCTTAAAAAACTAAAATGCTGATAAAAACTCAAAGGGGCCTTACTGATAATTCATTAAGTGTAGATGTAGGGGTCACTCTGTTTGAAATAGGAAATGATGAAAGGATTTATGTAAAAATCAGGATTCAAGTTACCTTCAAATTGGCTTTGTACCAGGCTCACCTGCCTGGGATCAGTGTTATTAGTCTGCACTTGCTAATGAGTCAAGCCCTGTTTGAGGTATCCGGTGGATAGAAAAGTCGGCAATCATATCAACTTAAAACTGTCACATTGTATCATTTAAATGAATTTTCTGTGTTTTCATGTGTCACTTCAAAAATGTAGTGAGCAGCAGCATGTAGAAGAAGGTGCTTAGAGAACTGCTTCTGGAAATTGTTGTCTATATCCTTCTTGAGGCCTTGTACTACAGAGGCAAATGTTGTCTGTCTTCTCTAGTGATGCTATTACTGAAGTCCCAATTTATACATCCTGTTGCGTCACAGTCAAACTAGTGAATCTTTGGAAAATCTGTAGAAAGAATAAACATTTCTTCAGTCAGCTTTTTCTTTTGACAGATCCATTCTTTCCTTTGTGCACAAAATTAATGAAGTTTAGAGCAGTTATTTGCTTTCATGATGATAAAGCTGTGCTTGGGGGAAGAATGATACTGCTTTTTCTATATTTTAGATGTTCTTTTAAGGAATACTGAAAATCTTCTAATGTTCAGTGCTCTTAATTCTGGGAGGACTAAGTCTACTTTAGAGAAGGATTATCAAGGTCTTCCTTTTGTAAAGAAATTATACTACATCAGTGTTCTTGAGGCTTGGCTCTATAGAAGTATCTCTTTCATGTGGATAACCTGGGACTTTACTTTTAACTGGATCTCTGAGCTTTTCTTAGTCACAGAATCAAATCAGTTGGAAGAGACCGGTGGAGGTCATCTAGTCCAACACCTGCATCCAGCCCAGCCTCCTCTTCCTTCTTGACACTTGTGTCCATATAACCTGGATACAGTGCCAGGGTTTGATCGATGTCTTGGGCAAACATTGTGTCCTTGTGGGTTTTTATCGCCATGATACTGTAGTATCCTGTAGTGACACTAGCGCTCAATGTGTTATGGATGGAGGCCTAAGCACTTAAATACCTCCTGGTAAGATTAAACAATTGCTCAGCTTCATCTTTTGTAGCAAGTACTTTTAGTTTGAATGAGGGTGTATTTAATTATAATTCTAAAAATACCAAAGGTATTTTAGGCAAAAATTATAACTTCCATATTTACTATGCATAAATGAGCTATTTGATACATCCAGGGAATTTGAAAACGCCAAGCATCTGACCAGTTACTTAAGGTCATCATCATCAGTTATCTGTGAACACCTTAATAATGTCGTCTTGTCTTAAATAAGAGATTGACTTGACTTTCTTTCTATCCCTAGTAGCTCTCCTTCATTTTCCTGCGTTTATCAACAGGTTGTCAACAATGTCTCACCTAAAGTAGCTCTCAGTCTATTTTTGTGTAAGTCATAAGATTGGCTAGATGTTAGGTAATGGATTTCTTGCTTTCCAGTATACATACGACAGAAAGAGATAGAGGCAAATAATGCTGAGGTACTGATAGCGTTATTCTTGGATGTGGTGCAGACTATTGTTCTAAGACTGAAAGATTTCTTAGTTGTCTGCAACTAATATTAGGGTATTTGCTAGTAAGATCCATAAACTACACAGCTGTTTTCATGATAGGTTCTTCTTTCTTGGTAGTTCTACGTACCTGGAATGTGCTCTTTGTTCATTGTCTCCATTTTTTTGTCATTCTTATTTTATGAAGAATTTATATTCTCTGTCCTGTTGCCCTGCACTTCTTATCAACCTTTATTCCCATGATTCCATAAAAGTTCATTTTAGTTGGTGTTTGACACCTTTCATCAGCTTAGTCGAGAA